CACATAAACCTGAGCCCGCTGCTCCCCCCACCCCTGCCATGGCAGCCTGGCTTTTCCCCACCCTCAGGCCCGGTCCTCCCCTGCATTGGGCCCAGGCCCACTCCTCCCCTCCCCACACTGCTACGGGGTGGGGGAGGAACAGGCCCAGGCTCAGGCCCCAAGCAGCAGGAAGGAAGTGGGGAGCAGGCCCAAAATGCAGGGGCAGCAACGTGTGCAGCACAGGGCTCCATCCCCACCCATTCTTCCCCCCACCACCCTGGTCATTCTTGACAGGCAGTTGGCTAGTACCCACTACATTACCGTTTTGGTATCTGGAAATTTGCTTTTTGAATGTTCACCTCTCTCAGCACTCCACAAATTTCCCTTGTCAAACCGGCCACGAATACAAGCAAGTTCTCTTTCACGCTCCTAAGCAAAGGAGAGTTATACATTAGCCTAAAATATTTTCTTGTCAAAACTGACATAATATATAGCTCTATGTTGGAATTCCTCAGCAGAGGTGAAGCATTAAAAACAATTCCTGAAATTTATAGACAAGCTGTTGAAATCTAGCAAACCATACCTGTTTGAGTTGCTGTGCTAAACTGGCAGTGGAGGAGTTTTCATTTTGTTTGAAAAGTCTATCTTGGATTGTCTTTGTATTTGGTGTAATAATGGGTGTTCTGTATCCAGTAGATGTAACAGGACTTTGTGCACTATGTTCTTGACAGCGCTCTCCAAAACGTTCCAGGAAGGGCTTAATTCCTGATCCCCCTACAAGAACAACAGTTTGGGCACTACAAAACTACTATGTATCCTTACAATTTAGAACATTAAAAAAAAAAAAAATGCAGCTGTTATACTATAAAACCTTCTGTTTGGTTCACTTCAGTCCATTATACTTTTTAACATTCTGGGGATTTAACTTTTGCTCTCATCTCAAAGGATATCAAAGCAGCGTAAGTCCAAATAGACAGGCATTTTATGCTCACTAAAATGTCACGATCTATCAACTGATAGATATTAAAGCTGACCTGCTTCCTTCTGTGCTCTTTTCAGAATCAGAGTTTACATATGCTAGCACAAAGTATTCCTGAACTGAAGTTAGAAATGCTGTTTGGTATTTATTTAATAAACTACTTGGGACCATTAGCATCTATTTTATTTGGGTGTCTGGAAAACAGACTTAGTTCTGCAATTTACTTTGCTATTCCTCCCAAGAGTTCAGGTGACCAGTCTCAAGTCTGAGGAACACCACAAAGAAAAAGCCTTAAACAAAAACAATCTTCTAGTATCACGCAAGTACAAGGGAACATGAAGATTGGCTGTTTTTTTATGACCATAATGACTCAGTAATGAATGAGTGTCTGATGTATTGATAACCGTGTAGATTCTAAATTCAACAGTTCTTTCCCCATATATATAAAAAACATGAGATTTAGTAATGTGCAAGTCAATTAGATTTCATTTTAGGAGGGACTGAAATACACTTGTGAGCATCTATGGACAGATTATCTCAAAGTTTAAAAAGTGGTTCTGGGGAACACTAGTCAAACCATGTCCAAAAATCAGATTTTGGAAGCCCTACTATAAATGAAGACTATAATTTGGATACTTAAATAAAATTATTAGATAGAAGCTAGAAATCCCACATTCACAACAGCTAGCCATTACCCGGTACAGATTAATATCAATTAGTAGGTAACTGACTCTGGAAAGGAATTAGTGCAACTGAAAGATGTGTTTACAATAAGTTGTTGTTTGGGGGTGGGTTTTAAACCATAAGAGTACCTTATCACTCAGTCACTTACCTGGTGTGGCTGGCTTATCCTTATGTTCACGTTGCACATGTGTTCCTTTGACTGGCTCTTCTTTGGAAAGAATTGGCTGAGATAAGGCTGGTCTTACTGTTGGTTTAAGTCCCTCTGTTTTCTGGGGGCTGCAGGGATTCTCCTTTAACACTTTCGGTATCTCGGTTTCCTTCAGATTGGGAGCAGCGACTCTGGAGGATTTTACTATGCAATTATTTGATCCCTGAAGAGGGAAAGAAAGATCGTTCAACACTTAAACCAACAGAGAAACCACATATTCTTAATTCCACTCAAGAGAGGTGCTATGAAAAAAGTTCTGCATATAGCAACATTCTATCACTAAAGCCAAGAGAGCAATAAGAGGCATAAAAACTATTAAAGGATTTTTTTTTAGATTTAATATAATTGAGTTTCGATAGATGATCTTGTCTTTTTGCAAATTTTTTTTCATTTGCAAGGACCTTTTATAATTCACAATAACAAGCTCAATGTAATTTCATACACTGAATGCTGACCATTATAGATATTTATTTCAGACAGCTGACTTGCATTTTATAGAGTTTAATATAACGTCACAGTCAACTATATAAATAACTAGCTTCTCAGAGCAAGATTCAGATATGGATTCATGCAAGTCAAACGTCACTCTTTCAAGTCCCCCGCTGCTGACCACACAAAGGAATGGCAGTTGCATAGTCTGAAGCTACGTCTCTTCCACAGTCACCAGTCTTATTTTACAGTTAAAATTATAAAACAGTTTGTGATATCCTTTAAAATATTAGACCATTAAAGTATTAAGATAGAATAAACAAAACCCTCAATTTTAAAAACTAAGTTACTTTATTATTATGTCATGGACCATCATTTCCAACATTCAGATTAGACAGTTAAGAGTTAATATTCATCCAAGAAAAACCCTATCAGGTTAGCTACTACTTAACACTGATCACTCACCGATATCTTAGAGGTTGCTAGTTTATTTATAGATGCCTCAACAGCCCTTTGAGGACAGGATGCAGCTTCCTGCTTTACACTGCTGCTATTGATTCTAGCAGATGCTCCACTTGTAGTGGACAATTTGGATAAACAAGTAGTACCAGGCTGTTCTTGTGTATTGTTTTGCTTTGCAGATGGATGACTTAGATCATTTTCCCAGGAACCAATTGTAGCAGCAAGGTTAGCTAAACGGCCTCTTCTCCCAACTGGAGTATCACTTGCCAGAGCAAGAGATGGTTGTTTGGGTGGAGACAGAGCTGGTTCTTTTGACTGGAGGGGAGACAGGTGAGAACTTTCAGATCCATCTGAAAAAGATTAAACAGAAAGTACACAACTTAAAAAAAAACCCCACACACTAAAAACGGCTAACTGTTTACATCTTATCAGATGTTTTTAACATATGTTAAATAAAATTAGCATGCAATACAATTGTTAATTAAACTGCTAATTTTGTAAAGACAGTAGCAGGTTATTTAACTAGACTCCAGCTTATCATGGAGCCAATCACTTAAATCTATAATGCCACACACAAGACAAGCATAAGATTTAAAATAATAAAACGGGGGGGGGGGGGGGGGGCCCAACTGCTTTCCCTTTTTTTGGGCCGGAGCTTTTTTTTTTTTTTTTTTCCCCCCACCACAGCATTAGTGGCATAGTAATGGTTTTATAAAGAAGTCCTATAAAACAGTCACAGCAAGGACTTTGTTATGTTGATTTACACAGGTAAATTCCCTAAGTTTAATTATTTTTAGAGGTGATATTGAATCAGCACCAATATAAAGAAAAATTTGATGCGTCAGATATCAACCGATAAATGCCCGTGCTACACAGTCGCAACACAACACTCAGGCAGTGAGGAGCAGAGTCAGCAGCATGGAGACCTGCCTCCAGCTGGTCAGTCCGTTGTGGTAGAAGGGGACTGGGAAAGGAAGGGGCATGGGGGGCAGATCAAAACCCCCCAGTGAGGGACGGGGCAGGGGGTAGAGCCATGACTTTTGGGGGTGGATTGGCTCCCGCCACTGTTTGCACCCCAGGAGGGCACGGGGGTGGGGGGCCATGTGCCCCTGTGGCAGGACGGAGCCTGGGGTGCCGTGAACTCCTCTAGCGCCCCCGGCCAACCGTGCCAGATCGGGACTAATACACCCTCGATATCTCGCCTGCCACGTCTTTGCTGGTAATATTGAAGGGAGGCTGCCTTTCTATCCCTCCCTGGCACAGTGCCTTAAGATGTTGTAATCTGGGCCCAGCCTCCGGTGACACAGCACACCCGAACCTCTGGGCCCCACGTGATTCCCTGCCCACCCTGGGGCCTTCTCCCACGCTCCTGCCTGCACTGGGGCCGGTCTTGCGCTCACGATTCCCGCACTGGGGCCGGTCTTGCGCTCACGATTCCTGCAGTTGGGGCTCAGGCGGCCTCGGCCTTACCTGGCCCCCAGACCCCCTTTTGGGTCCTACGCCCTACTGGGGCTTTTCCCACAATTGGGGCTCAGGCGGCCTCGGCCTTACCTGGCCCCCAGACCCCCTGTGTCCTACGTCCCACTGGGGCCAGTCTTGCGCTCACTAGGGCTCAGGCGGCCCCAGCCTTACCTGGCCCTCAGGACCCCTTTCCGAGTCCCACGCCCCACTGGGGCTTCCCACAATTGGGGCTCAGGCGACCTCAGCCTTACCTGGCCCCCAGACCTTCTTTCCAGGTCCTGTGCCCCACTGGGGCTTCCTGCCTGCGCCCGCACTGGGCTCCTCCCGATTCTGCCCACTCTGGGGCCGGGGTTGGGACACCCCAAAACACAGCGCCCTTTACAGCGCCAGGAACCCCCCTACTACTGGGGAGCTCCCATGAGGCCTCCTCCAACCCCTACAGCCTCACCCAGTCCTCCGGTCTCTCACTTCGGGGCTTCTCGCTGCCCCCTACCAAAGCTGCGCCCTCTCCGGCGCCAGGAGACCCCACGCTATCGCAGAGCTCCTATGAGGCCTCCTCCAACCCTTTATAGCCTCACCCAGTCCTCCGGTGACACAATAACAAAACAGAAAATACAAAGCCCCTGGCTATAACGTAAATTCCCAGCCAACCTAGCTCAAACGCGATCCCGCGATCATCTGGTAGCTTATGCTCTTAAAATCCCTACCAGGGTTTCCATCACCCAGTCTCCTCACTCGGGAGTTGATTCAGGCCCTCGGCTTCAGTAGGCAGCAATGCTTTAACAAAGCTCTTACTCCATCGGCTGTCAGGGGGGAACTGCCCTTCCGGCCTCAGCCTGGCTGTTTATAAAGGCCCCCTTCTGGTCAGCTGACTAGACTGGTTGCCCCGGCAACCTGCACCCGTGCTGCCCTGGTGATTGCCAGCTGAGCTCGTAATACTATTGTCAGTAGCAGGCACCTTAGTGCCCTGCTACAGCCCCCCAGATCTGCACGGGGGTATACCCCAAATTTCACTGCAGTTCAGCTCCCAGTGCTGCTGCTGCCAGCTGTCCAGTGCAGCCCTGGCTTTTCCCCACACATGGGTGGAGGCAGGTCATTGAGCTGGGGCAGTGCTGGGCAGCTGGGTGGCGGTGAAATTCGGCACTGGGAGGATGCTGCGTTCACCCCATCGGCACCGGCTCCAAAACCAGCCTGAGCAGAGCCCCACGCAGCCCCAGCTGCAGCCCACCCTGCACAGATCCAGGGGGCACACGCCCCCTCCCCCACCCGTGCCCTTCCGGGGTGCA